GGAAAGGAAATGTAGATTTTACCCCAAAGCAATTTTTCAAATGAACAAATGCAAAATCATTTAAACTTCTAAGAATTAGAAATGCTTAAGGATACCATCCAAAACCCAAAATAAATATAGCCAACACCAAACCTTATTGGGACTCAGGGGGTTGCAATAAAATGGAACAAATGAGTGAAGCCAGAGCAAAATGCTAGGAGTAATAACTTTGTAATAGAATGGATGGATGCAAAACAGAAGAGTGAGGATACAAAGATAAACAAGGAGAAAATAAGTTACTGGGATCAAAGGATGAGATTCGGGGCATCTTAGAAGATGAAGTACAAGGACATATGAACTGAGACCTTCTGTGGGGAGGGAGAGATCACCTGAGAATGTTGAAAGCAAAGTTTGGGGAAAAGGATATAAAAGGTGTGGAGTTGTGGGGCGCAAGTGATACAGCCGGGGACCCACAGATCCAGGGATTCTGCTAGACACAAACAAGACTTGGCTCAGAGAGCGCGCAAGCCTGGAAGAAATGGCTAGGAGGCAGAAAAGGAAGTGGTTAGATCAACGAAGCAACCTGAGAAAAAAAAAAGGAATTAGATTTACAGTGAGTGGGATAAACAGTTTTCCTAAGATAACGTGTCCAATTGTTTCTTCTCACCTGGATGTTCTCCAGGTCCCCTCTATTAAATGTTATCATCTTGCAGGACTGAGGAAGCAGGCCTTCTCTGGCACAGCCCCCCCCCAAAACCCCCGAAAATGCCCTCTCTCCTTGGGTTCTGGAAAGCTTTTAAAACCTGGATTTGGTTTGATCCTAGGGCTGGGGTTAATGTATTACTGTATTTTGAGGCCCCTGCTTTGTTTTTATTTGTGTTGCCTTTAAGATTATTTTAGTCCAGTCTGTGTGGTTTTATATTTTATTTGTTTTTATGGATTTTCTGGAGTCCATTGGAGTTGGGCGGCTATAACAAATTTGAATATACATAAACAAACAAACAAAGGGATGTCCCCCTTGCTATTGTCCTTGCTTGCAGCTTGGGCTCCAGGGAAGCAGAGTGGGGGGCAAGTCCCTACCCTGTCCCATAAGGCAAATCAACCCAATGTGCCAATAGGAAAAGGATTGAGACCACGAGCAGAAGAAATGCCCAGGGTGTGGAACAGCTAGGAGAGCAGATCACAATGGACAGAGCGATGTGTAGTCCATCTGGATTTGAATCGAGCCCAGCAATGTAGCAGTGCAAGAGAAATTAAGAAGAGGGGAGAGGAAACTGCTCTCTGTAAGACTTGGCAAGATAACTAGGATTGTTGAATATGTTTGGGGCTTAACTTGTCTTGGAGGTTTCAGAGGAGCTGCATTCTCCAAGCAAGAATCTCAGGACTGTGAGGGGACCGAGCCATTCACACTGATTTAAATAGCTGCTGGTGTATAAAGTTATTGTTATATCAGTGTAAACCTGATTCTAGGTCTGTACGGTTGTTTGATGCAAATAGAACAGAACACAACAGAACTGATCTCAGTCTTCAGTCCTGAAAGCAAGGTAATAAAGGTGTGATGTTGGCTGGTAATTAGAAGTGTTTTGTGTTTTACTGGATCTGGAAAGAGGAGCAGGGTGCCTCTTACAGCTTCCCCTGTGAATGGAAAGAGTGACAGTAAGCTCAACGAGAATAAAATCTGGAAGATATTTTGCTTATGAAATCTCTGGGGGATTTCAGCTCTTGAAACGAGGACCAGCTTCTGTGCTGCAGCAAAAGCTAGAGACTTACATTATTAACACTTACAAATAATCATTTTTATTGCACATATCTGCAAGGAGAAAAGAGCATTGACACAATGAAAAATCCACGGGGCTGGAACTCCCATCAAGCCATGTTAGCTGCCTGTTATAAGGACTACAAATGACTGGTTATTTATTTAATTACATTTATTGCCAGCAGGGGGAAAAGTCCTTGTGAGATTTTCTGCATCAAGTTCCAAACAACTGACCACCTTTTGATATTTCCACTTTAAATTGGGGGAGGTGGTAGATTGCGATCAGCTGAGATAGTAGATTCTCCAGGGCTAGCCCCAACATTATTTTCTTAAAACTTCCAAAATATGTCTATGTGTACTTTTTGTTGTTGTTGTTGTTGTTGTTGTTACATACAGGGGCTTTCTTAGGTGCTTTGGATGTACCTGAGTCCCAGCAAAGACAAGGCTCTCTGGTGTAGTATTCAGCAACAAGTTTGACTCTGACTTAATTTCCAGCAACTTCAGGGAGAAATCCATCCACGTAGTTTTCTTGGCAACAGAATGGAAGTGGTTTCTCATTCCCTTCTGGGATTTTTGTTAAACTTCTCAGACTAACCTACTGTCCTGGATTTCCTGTGGTTTCCCATCCATATTGTAACGAGATGCAAACCTGCTTTACTTTTAGAGATCTGCCAAGTTCAGCTAGGTCTATCTGGGCACACTGGCTACAGCTGGCTAGGTTAAAGTTTTCACTCAACCCTGATGCTTGGGGGTGAATGGCTGGTCCCTACTTGTCAGTCCCAGGTTTTATCAGCTCAAAAAAGGTAGTCTATCCCACAAAGACAAAGGAGCAGCAAGAGCTTGGAGCAAATGATGAAGTTAAATGGAGAGAAAACAAGAGATGTTGGGGGATGTAGGATCAGCAGCTGCTCTAGCCTTAGTTGCTTCCATCATATTTGCTTGTACATGTTATTACATTACAAATAGTAAGCTAAATTCTGCGCTCAGTACCAAATTCTGCCTGTTTCCCCCCTTCCTGCAAAATTCACACATTGTACTCATGTCATTATTTATTAAACAACTGCCAATATTTGGGTTCACACCGAGGCTAAGCCCCAAACCATAGTTTAGAAATCACAGTGGCAGGCTTCATAAATGCAGCAAGCCACAACCCAGCCAACCACAGTATTGGTTTAGGGCAGTATTTCTCAATCATTGCTGGCTGGGGAATTCTGGGAATTGAAGTCCACACATCTCAAAGTTGCTAAGGTTGAGAAACCCTGGTTTAGAGTAATGCATGATTCTAGTGTGGATGTCCTGTTTCCTAATTCTGGGATGCCTGTGAAGAGAGAGTATTCTGGAAAAGCTCAGAGAACTCCCACTTACCATGAGTTTGCATGTACCAGGTCCGGCTTTTAAAATGGGCTGTGGAGTGAAATTAATTCAGCCTT